TGGTGCTCAGTAATTCCTGATAAATTTGGTGGCAAGTCTGCAGTTCTCTTCCTAATAAAAATTATATAATGCACTCTGCTAGCACAGGCAGCTTTTGTAAGTTAAGAATAGCATATTACCAAAGCCTATTGAACTGGCCAGAATTCACTGGAAAACAGAATGAACACAGTATGGGATCTTCCTTTTTCCATGAATGAGAATGGGATCAAACTGCAAAAGAAACTGAACGTAAGTAAACTGCAAAATGTGTATTTACTACCATGTTTAAATCCAGATACAAAAAAATCATCTCACGCTGCTTGTAAAATATGCATCGGTTTTGGCCAATCTTCTGGGGATGTATCTCTCTAGATGTCCTTGGCCTTGGAAGTGGAGATGGTAGTTAATAAAAATAGCAGAGGCAAGAGGGTGGTCCACCTGGCCTCCTCGCTCTGCTCTTGAGAGGAGCTATGTTTACTTACAAGCAGGCTTGCATCTGGAGCTTGGCTATTCTCAGCCCTGATGGATTCCAGCCAGCCGTGCCCATTCCTCTCCCAGCTGGCATATGCGGCTGCGCCACTTGGCAGGCGACAGCCACTGCATGCATCTGGTGGTGGCATTTTTAGAAACACTCCAGCAGTGAATTCATCCACCCATTTGGGGGAAGTTTCTTAATGTGGAAAGCATTTCTCCACAGTAAGCACATTCTCCCCACTTCAACTCATTTCAGCATTGCAGATCTTTTTTTTTTTTCCCCTTCTCCTTGCTTAAGTTGTTTGGTAGTTTCTCAAACTCAGGAAACTGTGAACAAGCAGATCAGTTCAGTCATGTTACCATGATGTTCAAGGCATGTTGAAGAGCAAAATCCTCTCCTCCTTGCCACTGCCTTCTCCCCCTCCTCCCCTTGCTGTATCACATTTTCATGCTTTTTAATTATCCCAAAGTAGGGATGTAGTTCAATGTATATTAGAAATAATTTAAAAGACTTAATTTAAAAGTTTTAATTAAAAATGAACAATTCAATAAACTTTTAAAACATATATTTTAAACTATAAACCTAGAGGACATGAAATGGTGCAAAAAGGCCCTTACTTCTTGATTCTGTTGCTCATTCTTAATGCTGGCCTACAATAGAGTTCTGTGCCTGCATACATGATGAAATAAGTTTCTCCATCCTGTAGGATTATTCACATGTAAAAGAATGTGGAAGAGAATTGTGAAGCCTTGCGGGTTGGTCCCACTCCTGACATGGCAACAAAGTTCTCTGCCACCTATAGGTTTGGACACAAGGGTTTCAGGATTCTGCCTGAAGCAGTCCCATGGATATACGTGGGGACACATGGATAGCCCTCTTCCTTGGAAGGCAAGCAGAGAAACATTTTTATTATGACACCCAGCAGTGGACAGAACTAATCCATATCCTGTCCCACTTCAATACTTCACACAGAGAAATCCTGTGCTTCACATATTCCAGAATTACACTGGATGCTGAAACCTTCATCAGTGGAAATTCTACCCAGTACCACAGTTCTCATCATGTTTGTGAAGTTCCACTTGGCTTTATAGCCTTTTGAAGAAGCTGAAGTACTACTCCCAGCATCTCTCACCACTGGCCATGTTGATGGGGCTCTGAAAGTTATAGTTCAACAAGATCTGGAGAACTAAATTTTAATCCTTCGTTTAGTATTACCTACCTGTTATAAACTAGGGTGAGGGATAATTTAGAATCTCACTAGCAGGCACCTTCTGACAAGGATTCCCAGTAAAACATACTCATGATAGGCTGCTAGCAGTGATGCTGAATGCCTTGATACACTCTAATCTGTAGATTAATCTAATCTAATGTAATAAATGAATTACATTTCTAGGCCACCCAACTTCAAAATGACTCTGGTGACTTCACAAGTTAAAAGAAGCAACATTTCATAAAAAATAACCTTTGTCTGAGGGGCAACATGGTCTCCAACCACAACACCTGAAACTCAAAGGGGCTTGCCCAGCACCCTTAGCCTGTCTACGGAGGACTTCTCCCTTTAGAACAGCTCTAAGAAAACTAAAACACAAAGTCTTTTGGACCTTCCCATCCAAAGCACAGAAATACAACCATTACTAAATCTTGAGCCACTCATGAAATACAAGCGGTACCTGTGTCACTGCTTGCACATGGAGGTTTTAACAAGAAATCAAGTTAAGTGAGAGCAGCCACATCTCTAGACATAAAAATGGAATTCATTGGGTAAAGGGAAATATACAAGAAATGAGGGAAGTTAATGATTAACCCCAGAGAGTGAGTAAGTGAGTGAGTGAGTGAGTGAGTTTCAAATTTGGACACTGCCTATCTCATGAGAAGTGTCTCTGGGTGGTTTACAATAAAAACATCAAATAAATATCAATTAAATACAATAAAAATAGTATAAAATACAATAAAACCAAATACATAAATAAATAAATAAATAAATTTCCAAATAAAATCAGTAGAGTCAACCTGGCTGAATTAGTAACTATGCCTGCATTGAACAAAATCTTGGTTTCAGCACATAGCCAGGGCTCACTGCAGTGTACAGCTGGAGAGATCCTTTGGGCCTCCTGCTTGAATGCTTTTAGTCAGGACCTCCTTGCTCTGCTTTCTTTTATTGACGATCTTCAATTTTATAAACCACAGAAGATAATTGAAAACCAGCCTCTTTGGAAAAATAGCTTTCTTAGTCAAGGAAAATGTTCCCCATTTTTGATGCTTAGGAATCTAGCCAGCCAATGAGAAAATATCTAGCAACTAAACCCAACTGATGAAAACTAGACTGCAGTTTATCAGTTGGGCCACTGTTACGAGTTTTTAAGAAAGCAAGCCTCTCAGCATGGGTCAATTTACTGGATGTTCGGGGCCACACCACAGATTAGGGGGTTGTCATCCACAGTATTGCATATGTGGCTCACTCCAACCCATCTCCACCAACTTTGATATGTATGTTGGGATCTGAATTGAGTTCCACATATTCACACTCAATATTTTATCCTCTTGCAGCATGACAGAGATCTCTTTGCAGAAGTTGGCTTTTAAAAATAAGAAAAAAGTTGATCTAGTGCTGAAGTCTGCATACTACAAAACTTGTGCAAACAACATTTATTGAGTTCTCCTGCTTGAAATAAAATAAAATACCAATACCAAAACTGAAATAAATACGAAGTTAATAAGAAAGCTAAAGACAAATATAGGAACTTTTTTTTTTAAGTGCAGTTTACTTCTCTGACTCCCCTCTCTCTAGCATTTTTTGCTTTAAGGTAACACTATTATTTTGAATGGTTACCCATTCAGTTGCTGCAAATTAAGAACTTTCTGTTTTTTTAAAAAATACGATCCTTCAGTGCCATCTTGTGGCATACACACAAAATCACAGTCCCTGGTTCTGGATTACTCTGTGTGTGTGTGCACCTTCAAGTCAGTGTTGACTCCTGGCAACTGCCTAGACAAGTCCCTGCAGTTTTCTTGGCAAGGTTTTTTGGAAGTGGTTTTCCACTGCCTCCTTCCTAGGGCTGAGAGAGGGTGACTGGCCTAAGGTCACCCAGCAGGCTTTGTGCCTAAGGCAGGTCTAGAACTCATGGTCCCCGTTTCTAGCCTGATGCCTTAACTACTACACTGAACTGGCTCTCTCTGGATTAATAGAGTAATTTTCATCTGCTCTATAATCACAAATAAAGGTCTTTATAAACTGCCCTCTACCCTTCTATGCTGATGGTGGAAATGGGAAAACATATTCACCTTTTTTCCCCACTTCCTTCTATTTAGTAACAAATGTTTAGTGTATTACAATCAGGCTGAATCAATCCACTGCAGGATTGAAGGTCATGGACTGTAATCTACTACACTGGTCCAGTGGAGTTGGTAGAGAGGTTTTTCAACTTCCCAGTCTAGATCTGAGATTAACTGGCCCAGTGACCCAGCCAATTTCCATGCCTAGGGGAGGACTAGAACCTGAGCCTCCCTGCTCCTAGTCCAGCACCTTAACTATTATGTCACACTGGGTCTCATTTAGTGTATTAGCATGCTAAGGAACAAACACCTGTTATTGTTGGACAGTTAAGGATTGCATCACCTTGAATATTCTTACGGAAATTATGCACGACAGATGATAATAAAACATTGCACTGGCTACTGAATGGGCGGACTCATTTTGAAAGGTATTCTAGGGCTTCTCAACAACCTCCACAAAAATCACATAAAGATTTAGCAACATAAAATACATGTATCTGACTATGCACAGATTAGCTAATTTCTATTAAATGCAACACTCATGTGACTAAGCCCCTAATTTTCCAATTTGGAATCCACTGATGAGATCAGACACTTTTTTAAAAATTTATTTTTTATTATTGAGAAGAAAAAAAAAAAACACATAGAAAGTGCTTTAACAAAAAAGTAAAAGAAATACAATAAAGAGAAAAAACGTTAATATGTCATAACAGTAAACAATTACAATTCTATATATACTTATCTAATGCAAATATTATTCAAGTACATATATATTTCTAATACATTTATATGACTATCATGTTTTTTTAAAACCTATCATATTTTGTATAAATGAGTCCCATATTTTATTATATTTGTCCATACAAAGTCTACATCGACTGGCAATCCACTCGTAAGTAGCAAGTGCAATCAGGTCTTCAATCCGTTGAGTGAATGGGATCATACGTTTATCTTTCCAATGCTGCAATATCAGTCTTTTGGCCATAGTAAGGGCATGAAGAACCCATTTACATTATCCGGTTGTCAAGTTCCATGTACTAGGTATATATTCAAAAGAATTTTTATCTATATAAAAATTTTAGCTTTTGTCACACAATCATATTTATTTAGCTCACTACTTTCTCCTAAAACTTGGTAAGTATAGGACCTTCAACGAGCCTATCATGCTAGTAGGAAACACAGCCACCCTGGAAGACTTTTATGGGGTCCCCCAACCAACTTTTTTAGACTGAAGAAGCTGCTTGGACAAGTAGCGAAACATCTCTAACCAAAAGAAAAGAAGTCCAGTTGCCGTGACTCAACCTCCAGACAACACTGTACAAACATATGTTTTAAAGAAGCATTATTCTTATTACATCTCCACCAAAATCCTGTTTTTGACAATCCAAGATCAGACACTTACATGATAAATAGCTGGATTCTAAGAAAGGGACAGTTCCTTGCATGAAAACCAGAAGAGGAATTGAAATGAATTGCAAGAGAAAGAACCCAAAATTGTCTGACTCTATGACAGTTCTTTGCTTCTGGCATTTTAGCTGGGGCAACAGGAAGCAGCACTGAATGTTTAACTGGACATTAAGAGAATAATTTTCAGCTACCCACAGGTGCATTACAGGGAAAAAAGAACTCTTGTGTTTAAGCACAAAGTTTATAACAGGTTAAACATTCTAGAAAATTAAGGAATGTTTTTATAATTTGTGCTTATTATTAACATACATAAACGTCCCACAAGAAAACATTAATTACAAAAAAATGCTCTTCAGTGTGTTTGTAGAAAGTAATGCTGAAAAATGTTTCAGAATGAAAAGTTACCATTTAAAAACATCATTATTTGGAGTTGACTATAGATCCCCTTGATTCTTTCAACATCACTATCCCAACCCCTTCAGCTCACTCAGATTTCTTCATTTTGCCATACAAGCAAATATCAGAAGACAGTACGGTTGCCTTTCTTGCAGCAAATTGTCTGGGGTAAGGCTTCTTCCTAGGATCCTTTGCCATCTCTCATAAGAGCCAGCAGTGAATAAAACCCAAGTCTGCGCCCTGCTCTTGCTTGATGAGGACAGCCTTGATGTGCAACTTTGGACCTAGAAAATAACTGTGTGCGCTGAGAGGAAGAACTCTGTAATGCTCCTTGCATGCATACTACCCTGTGATGGTATAGTTGTGTCCACAGGAAGAGATGGAATCTTATAATATACCTTTAGCCTTATGTTAAAAAGACATCCAAGAAATGAGACTGCTATCCCAAATAAATGATTTGATCAACATGAGGCATCAAAACCGTACACTGCGATGAAGCAACGGAATCCATCTAAATATCACTGGCAAGAGAAACAGATAAACAAATAATATGGACCCGTCAATTAAACAGAGATTTGGGGATTTGCCTCATTGCTTTTTCTGGAGACAATCTGAGGAAAAGGTCATTTTTATAATTCAAAAAGGACCATTAATAAGACTTACACACTTTGCATCCTTTAATTTATAAGATTTTTGCAGCACTGGCATTCACATGTACTTTACTAAAGGTATAATATACAATATATCTAATATATGTTTATAGTATTCTCCCAGTCCTCTCAGTTCTGTACTGAACTGAGGAAAGAATCAGAAATGTATTTCAGGCCAAAGATGGGAGACACTGGAATATGCCTCACAGAATATGCCTAGTGATGTATCCCTCCAGCCTCAGAGCAAACATGCCTACTTTTTCCTCTTCCTTGTTCTAACCTGCTGCTTGTATGATAGTTCTGTCTGACAGAAGGGTCTCCTGTCAGAACTCTTTTTGCAATGTATCTCCTTTTTTCCTTGCAGTCATGCTTCTTCCTCTCACCTGAAAATATTACAAAAAGGGAAATAGTCTTTTTTTCAGGATGTAAAGCACAGTGGCCAAAAACAAGGCCAAGGCAAGAAAGATGAGCAATTTATCAGTCAGCTCCCTGCGATTATATTTTGTAATAAGCTTTCGGCCCAGCTGTATTGTTCCAGACATGGATTTAAACTCCTCGTTGGCATCCAAGATGGTTCGTGAAGAATTAACTGAAAGAGAAAGTGTACACTTCAGTGGATTGTTTCTGAAACATCTAGCAAAAACATACATTGTGGAAGCATCTTGTTTGTATCCTGTGAAAGAAAACATACCACATGCAGAACGCTAGGTAAGTTGGCTTACAGCTTCATATTTTTCCATCCAAAGCCAGATGAAGTCAGTTCAGATGGCTCTCTTGTCATCTGATGACCACCTGACAGTCCAAATGATACATTGCCATCTTGAAGAGACCCATTCATAGAAGGCTGAGATCAGAGTTGGCTAAGGCTCAAGTCTCCGGACCATTAAAACTTTTACCTCAGCCAAACTCTGTATCACAACAGACCATCATCTCTCTTAAGGCTGTTCACAAATACTCTAAAAAGGCAGATGTAAATAATTAAAACAGCAATGTATGAACATTCATAAGCATTTAGTTAAAGCAATCTGATCTATCTAAAATCAGATAGAAGCATTAAGTCTTTTAGCCTATATTTAAAAACCGTTTGAGAGGGAAAGAGCCAACGTAAACAGATAGTGGTAGAGTTTGCTCAATAAAATCACAGATTTTCCCCAAGCCCATGAGAGCTAGCCTAATGCTTAACATCTTTTCGCTGAAGCAAATAAAAATACTTTTCCTCCTAGTTGCCACTGTCAGGAGGCGAAAACAGAACTTACAAATACATAACTCTTTATCACAAAACTAAGCTACAAAGCATCAACCGGACATATATTTCCTAGTCTATCCAACAGCAAATCCAGATTGATTTTCCCCCTCCAGAATGGATTACAGCATAATCAAATAATCTTAAAGGCACTCTCAGGACCCCAAGGAAAGTGAGCAGGGAGTCCACAATGATTACTTTTGTACAGTCAGTTTTCCCTGTGCTGCTGGTATTCCTTGCAATGTGCAATTTCAGTGTGTGTGTAGAATAAGGTAAATCTCTGCTTCACTCATCAGCAAGACTTTTGGCACCCAACTGTTTAGCCACAAAAAGAACAAGGATCCCACCATGATGAAAAGTAAAGACTCCCTGAAGTCAAACTAACTTCTAGTAATGACAGGGACACAATCATGTAGTTTCCTTGGCAGTAACTGAGAAAGTTTGCCATTCCCTTCTTCTAGGATAATTTTTTTTGCCAACAGCTCTAGGATTTTCTGGTGGTCTCCCATCAAAGTGCTCACTAGGTCCAATCTTGCACAGCTCTTTGGGATTAGCGAGACAGGCTAGGTGCTGCCATCTTTTGAGGCCATCAACATAAACTAGAGTATTAAAATGAAGGATGGATTTATCTATGGGACAAAAAAAGGTGTGAACTACTTAAATGAAAGGACAACTTTTCTCTCCATTTGTTCTCTTCAATACTGACTCCAAGGATGGCTGGTTGATGCAGACCATGCAAGCTTGGCATTTGCCACCTCAGTTCTAGTTGGTTTCTGTTGGGGTTCAAGAGGCCCAGATTGCATTCCATATGACCAGCGTACAACTTAGGTTATAGCCCTGTCCCAGAATTCTCAGCAGGAATTTCTTGGTAATAGGCATGATGGATAGAAAGAGTTCGTTACAATTTTAAACTATTGCTTTGGGTGTGTTTCAGAAAAGGCATCACCAGTCTGAACAATAAATCAGCCATTTGGTAAACCAAAAGAGATGTTTTGCTGTACAGATATTGCCACTGAAAGCAAGCGGACTGACCATTCTAGAATGGAAGTTCTGCAGTGTGTTTCACCTTAGGCATTTTGTTCTTGGTATAAATAGAGCACAAATCCACAGAACAATTAAGTGTACAATATACGTCTTGCATTTCAGAGCTCTACATTTAATCCCTGGATCTCTAATCGAAAAGACCCCAGGAAGATGCTCCAGAAAGCTTTCTTTGTTAGACTAGAACAAACTGTGGACAGCAGGAATAGAAGGCCTGGGTTACAGAAAGCAAAATCAGTATTTTGAATCAGTATAAGGCAACTGCATACGTTCATATCAATTCTCTTTAAAATATACAGATTTGCCCCTTCTACTCACCATTTCTGTGTATTTTAAAAAGGGAAAAAATGAAATAGATTCATGTTCCTCATAATTTGTGAAACGTGCATATTTTATAAAGGATATCCATGTTCAAGTACACAATACAATCAACATTAAAATATGCAACACTTCAAATCAGTGTACACACTCAATATAGTACAGCAATGAATACTTCTTATCTCATGTTGGGATCATCCCACTCAGAGTAAAACAAAATATTCTCATGAGAATGGTCCATATTACAAATATATGTTTGTGTTTGTGTGTTGTGGATAGATGAGAGAGAGAGAGAGAGAGAGAAATAATATGTGCGCACACATATACACTACTACATAATTCTCCATATCACCATAAGAATGACTGGAAATGTCCAGCAAAACATTTGGCATGGTCACTAAACTGCATTTTTTCCCTTTCTGCTAGGTATATGCAGGTCAAATAAAAGATTGGGAAACATTTCCCCAAACTCTTCTCTGGCTGTTTTATTGAAAATACTTTTATTTCTGGGTTACATACATACACTTCATTTCTATTTAAGCCAATTGATTTTAGGAATTCATTTACCAAAAAAAGAAATGCTTGAATCTGAGAGTTATAACAAGAGACCTCTTAAGGTACATCTTGGTTGCACCACATGACATTCTTACCTTATCCTTTAAGGTCCATCCTTGAACGAATATTCCTGTACCTGACAGATTACTTAGGCCTTAATGAGAAAGTGGAATGATCCTCTCATGCAGAAATGTGAATTCAGAAGTGTCTTGAGTGAGAGGAAGGTACATGCAGCTTAATTCTCCTGGTTTCTTCCTCTCATGGAAGCACCATATAAATCACTAAAAGCCAATGGCCCTGGGGAGGATATAGGGGTGGGGTGGGGTGGGGGGTACTAGGAAAGCCCTGTTGCATTAGAACATCACCTGTCCATCTTGGACTCAACTCCAGATTATTTACTTACCTAGCGACTGCATGGTTTCCTCACTTTGCCGAACCTGCTGAGACATCATTCTGCTAATTCCCATCAGACTCTCTGTGATGTTACTTGCCCCCTCTGCCAAACTTTCCTTAGTAGATTTTCTAAAAGAGAAGAGAGAAAGAAATCTAGTATGTAATCAAATTACATTCCTTCCTAGTTTCTTCTTCAAAAGCAGAGGGGTTATAGAAAAGATGGCATCAAGGAGAGAAATATTCCAATATACGTACAAATGCAAACACGCTTTCAATTACGCACAGTTTTCTTGGGATGATGCAGAAGGGATTTTCCACTCCCTTTGCTGGGATGTTTTGTTCAATTATCCAGTCTAGCTTATAGTTCTGAACTAAGTGGCTCCCGCATCAAACAATTAACCAGGTCTATGCCTACATAGCTTGTAAATCAGCCAAAGTCAGATGCTATCACTTGCTGAAGTTCTTAGGCTCCCTCAAGTCAAGCTTGACTCGTGATGAACTCAGTACTGCCACCTGCCTGAGCTGCCCTTGGTTGATAGAGAAAGCTAAGAGGAGTCAGCTCTGGTTAGTAACTGGATGTAAGACCACCTGGGAATTAAGGAGCTATAGGCTAGGCAGAGAGGTTAGAAAAAAATATTTTTAAAAAAGCAATGGGAAACATGTTTTTGTACCACACCAAAAAAACTACATGAACACACCAAGTGTTGAGCTCAACTCAACTTAACTTGCATTACAGCTGATCTGCATGACCCAGATTGCTCCAGCTAGAGTATGAGCCATAGCCATTTCCTGATGGTAGGAAAAAATTACTTAGTCATCTACCCACCCCCAAGTCATTGGGAAGGCAACTTCTGTCTTTCCCTCTATGTGTCCAAAGTAGTGTTCTCCCACTTATGCCAGCTCAAGCAGCGCTGCCCAGTTTGTCTGCTTGATTTCACTGTAGGCAAACCCCTCCATTCAAATTGGCTGCTGTGCACTGCCACAGAAACACCTCCTCCCCTCAATCACTGGTTGCCCTCAAGACATTTCATGCCACTGTCCTCAAGACATTTCATCTTGACTGCCATACCAGTGACACCCTGGACTTTTTAAACCTATGCAGCACTGAAAGGCTTGGCTTCCCTCCCCCCCCCCCCTCCCCCCCCCCCCT